CTGCATGACTTGAAGCAGTTTTAAAATAAATCAAACACCGAGCCATCGGCATGCCACTTTGAACACACAATTTTACAATACATAGAGAAAAGAAAAGAGCATAATAAAATAATTTTAAAAAACCCTAAAAATATACATAATAGAAGAGCTTATAATATATATGTTACAGTAAATATATCTTATCAGGAATTTCATATATTTCCTGAATTTTAGGAAATACTTGAAATTTCTATTCTGCATAGGAAATACGTGTATTTATTGTTTTCAGTTTACATTTTATTTACTGATTTTTTCAGTAATTTTTACACGTGTTTACTGACTGTATTTTTTGGTGAGATAATTTAAATTATTATACCTCTGTGAATTTTTTCTATATAAAAATATGACAAATAAACCTGCTATTTTTTCTAAACAACCCCTACTGTGGAATAGTTTTTGTGCTATTTGCCCATGGTGAAATAGTCATTAAACTATTCACCGGCAGCATTCCATTTCCCTCATTTTTCTTCTCAAAACTATTGGGTTTGTGGTATTGTGACGTATCCGGTTTGTGACGTAACAAAAGTAAAGTCGGCTTCGGTATAATAAACACCTATTTACTGACTATTCGGACAATAGCAAGTTTACCGTCCCCCTCGACAGCAACTATTTCCCTCGGCTGCGCCTCGGGAAATAGTTGCTGTCTTGGGGGACGATAAACTTGCTATTGTCCTCATAGCCAGTAAATAGGTGTATAATATGAATCATAAAATATAAACAGAGGCACAGTAAATTCAATGCATGTTTACCTTAACAACTTAAACCCAGTGAGTAGAGTTCAAAAACTTGTTGTATATACAATGGTCTTTAATTGATTCACTTTCCATTTAAAATGGTTGATGATAAGAGGAGGCTTTTCACCAAGTAGATCTTTACTTGTATCAAAATGATATTTCTGTCAAACTTTGATTGCAAAAAGAAATATTAAGGAGGAATGCTAAATTTTTATTTAAGGAAGCTCTAAACACTGCACACTAAAGAGTTCTACTTATAGGGTAGTTTTATGAAGTTAGAGTGATCTGCCCTTAGAAGTAAGATTAGAAAAATGGTTATTTACACTTAATCACACAATTTGATATAGATTAAAATATTCTTAGTATTATATAAGCCCAAGACTAAATAATTTTATTTATTATTTCCATTAATTTTCCCAATGTAAGTAAACAACTGTGATTTCTTATCATGAATAGTCCATTGTCTTGAACATTTTTCCTGCGGAAATAAGGCAGATACCCTATGACGAAAATGAACTAAATAATCTCAATATGCATATCTTTATATAATATATTTTTTTCCAAGTCCAAAAAGCATTTTTTTGTTAGTGTTTAGAGCTTCCTTAATGTTTAAGAGATCCCTTTCAAAATATGGTTTTTAGTTCTGAACGACCAATATTAGTTCTGAATTATTTTATAATGAATTTTCATTTTGCATTTTTTCCCCAGAAAATGTAAAAACTGTTTTATTTGCTAATTAAATGCTTTAGAGTTTTATACTGTTAATAAATGCATATGATTATCAAATAAAACATGTCAAGACGAGTAGGAAAACATTTTAATTTTTTATTTAAATTTATTTACTAAAATAAAATACATTATTTGTGAATATTTTTTAAACCCACAGATAAAACCAGGAACTAAATGTGTAAAGGTGACAAGAATACTCCCTACTGACATGCAAGTTTTTAATATATGTGGAAGTCCAAGAGTGTTAAAATACCAGTTGGGTGAAAATGGCACAAAATTAGAATACATACTGATACGCTGCTTTCACTTTCTGGAATCGGTTGTCTGTGTGAAATGGTCATCACATAAAATGCAGTTATTTTTTTAATTTTTTTTTTAAATAAAAAAAATAATAAAATCGCATACTGACATTTCTTCACGTGTTTTATTATTTACTCATACTATGCTACTATGCATGTATTAACAGCAAAATTACAACCCTGAAGCATCTTATTTGCCATCTTCGCTAGCCAAGGGTTTCCGATCCGAAATCTACTCTGTTGTAGAGTAGATTTCGGATCGGAAACCCTTAGCTAGCGAAGATGCTTATTTGCTAATAAAACAATGGAGTTCACTTGGTCTTCGGGAATATTAATGTTTAATAAACTTGTCTCTTAAATAACGAAAAAAACAAGATGTGTTTGTGAAACACTATGCACCCGGCGGCAACAAAGTTCGAAAAAGCTATTTTTAGCATATAGGTCACAGTCAAGGTCACAAGGTCATTGACCTTGGTGTCATTTGAAAGAACTTAATGAGTGGAGTATGCATACCAAATATGAAGTCTCTCTCTCTCATGGTTCAAAAGTTATGGTGAAGGTTAAAGTTCAACAGACAGACAAACAGACAGACAGGACAAAAACAATATGCGCCCCCGATCTATCGATCCGGGCACATAAAAAAAATGGACAAATGAGTAAAAAAAAAATGGAATTCATTCTTAATATCACTCAAATCACATAAATTACATTTCCTATTACCCCTTGTTAAGTTTTCTTACCTTCCAGAAAAACAATCCTTTAAAGAAAACTGTGTACATTTATTAGAAAAATTACGGAAACGTGCTCCCCGAATTAGTATAGATCTATATCTATAATTGTACTATTTGTCTATCGTCATACTCACGCATGCTAAAATTTTGTTTTTATTTGTCATCATTGTTTACATTTTTATCTCTGTATACAATTGTAAAATTGTGAAGAGATTAATAAATTCAGTTCAGGTTTCGATCTTTAAATTATGTGCTGATAATCTAATCTAATAATTATCTGTTATCACTTTTTCTATATTTTACATTTGTTTCCTTAAATAGCCTTGCAAACAAAAATAGTCAACTAAATGCTTATATAAAATGCATTTTGATGATTCACATATATCAGATATAACTTTTTGTTTAAAAACGTCCCACATTTTATTATATTTTATATCTAAAATTATACCATCTTTTTGATTTCTATAATACAAGTCAGCAAAACTTATGATGTGCATTTCATTTTTAAAACTCATATTCCAGGGATCATTTTTTCTCTATCATATATTGATAACATGCACTCAAAATACAGTTACATGTATTACTTTTTCTTAATTTTAGCCAATATTGTAATATTTTTCGCTTTTTAAATATATCTAGTGACATTCTACCTAACTTATGATAAACAGCACAATTACAAGTATTTTTTATGCTCTCTTTCGAAATCTTGACCTCTTGGCATCAACCGAATCGATGAAAGCAATAATTAAAATGATGCCATCATCAAAACAATTATTGCTCTCGTTAATTCAATTGATGCGCGCATCAAATCATCTAAACTAAAACTAAACAAAACCAAACTTAACTAGATTAAATTATGCTAAGCTAAGATAGATTAAACTAAACTAAATCAAACCATCAAATGACTTGATTTGCGCATCACCGAGAAAAATTAATGATTTGATGAGCGCATCAGTTTAGTTATTGTGGGAAAAAATAAAATGCATGTAAATGAAATTTTCCATAATTAAAAATATCTTCAATTTGGTGCTCCATACAAGACAAATATAAAAATCGATAAATGTACTAACAGTCAGTAACAAAGATTCACTACTATGCATAACTAAAAAGAAAGTATTCGAAACCTTTTTTTTAAATAAAGCTAAATGATTGCAGAAAAGATAAACGAAGTTATCTGCACGTTATCTTTATGCGTTTTATTTATTCATTTATTTTTTTTCTACGATATCGAGCATATAGGCACAGTAAAAAAGAAATGTACCATAATTATGTCATCAAACTTTTTGAAAAGTTACTTTGCTTTAGTATCTCCATCAATGTGCATTCCAAATGAAAATATGGTGCCAGAATATTGAAAATATTAATGGAAAAGTTTCATGTAGCTTAGACAAAGACAATATCTTTCGATCAAGATTTTCCTTTATTAATCACGTTGAAATACTTTACATAATTTATCCATCACGCAGCTTTTGAGATGATTAATAATGTTGGTACTCTTTCAATAAATGAAATTTCGGAATATCTTTTAATTACAGAATCATAGTATACTAGAAGTTTTGTATTCCCTCACACCAATTCTGAAACTTAAATTTCGTCATGCATTTTGTAACTCTCTCTCTTTCTCTTAAAAACAAGGCAAGTAAGTAAGGAAATAAAAAAGTCTTTAATTACAAAAAATACCAATTAAATTTTTAAAAAGTATAGAAATTAAAAAAGCATGCCAAAACAAAACCAAAGAAATGAACAACAAGATGTGTTTGTGAAACACTATGCCCCCGATGGTAATACAGTTCTGGAGTTGGACGTAGACTACAGTGCAATAGTTATGGCCAATGTTAAAGTTTTTCAAATGTAGGTCAAAGGTCACAGTTGAGGTCACATGATAAAAAATTTCTGTACCAATAGAAAGGTCTTGTCATAATGAACACTCATGTCAAACATTAAAGCCTTACCCTTGACAGCGCAATAGTTATGGGCTAGGTTAAAGTTGACAACATACAGACAGACAAACAAATAGACAGGACAAAAACAATATACCCCTGGGATCTTTCGATCCGAGGGCATAAAAATTCTCTGAAGTAGAGCGCACTGTCAGGACTATTCGATACGTAGCTAGAGTTGACCGTTTGTAATTCTAGATCATTGTCATAGTCTTAAAAATGAACCAACAATTAATTATTGCATGTTATGCAACAAACCGAAAAGGGTACCCTAAATGGAACTGTATAGTGTTGAAAATATAAGCGTACAACAATGTCACTCTTCTGGTTGCACCTTTCTGGCTCTGACCCAGTAAGATCACACAATGGTGTAGTTTAATCTTAAATATTTAATCCCACATTAATAAACGTATATTGCGAACACTTTCCTTATTAAAGAATGACACATTAAACAAAAGCTTTTAAATTTGGCATCACCAGTTAGAACTAAATTTATGTGATCTCAAACATGGTGGCTCATCGGACAACATGAATCCTCCTTCCTTGGCTGTTCTAAATCTTCACCTTCTGATTTCCCTGGCAGTCGTCTGCTCCGGAACACTGAGAGGTCTGTTTGTCTGATCAGTCTCCAGAAATATGAAATTTTTGTCAAACTATTTAATATGATTTGTGTGTGTTTGTGTGTTATATCAACTGATGCCATCACGTTACCGTGGTTTCTTCTCAGACAGGCTATTTTGCAATATAGCTAACTTTTTTGTCGCATCTACGAATCTACGAATGATACTTGCAAACAAAAACTCACTTTGAAGTGTCACTGATGAAAACGACTTCTGTGTTATTTTTTTTCATTCTCAGTATGAATTGTTAAAATAGCATTGATTTTTTTCTTTTCTATTGGCCTTAGCTTTTACATTTCTCACTTTTGTACAGATGTTGTTTTTGTTCTGGACAAATCAGGAAGTGTCCAGCAGGACGATTTCGATGAAGCAGTAGACTTTGTTTACAATGTGACAAAATGGCTGACTATTGGACCGTCTAACATCCAAGTGTCTGCAGTTACTTTTTCCACAAATGTCCAGACAAACTTTGACTTGAGCGCCCACTCAACCAACACAAGTTTACTGGACGCTATTTCTAATTTGAAGTCTGTGTCCACAGGTGGGGGAACGTACACATTTGACGCCCTCAACCACGTTAGGACAAATGTCCTTACGTCTTCAGGAGGTGCTCGCTCGGGGGTTCCTAAAGCAGTGGTGGTGCTGACAGACGGATTGTCCGCCAATAGTCTTCTGACAAAAGAAAGGGCAGCGGAACTCCACGCCGACAATGTGGAGGTGTACGCTATTGGAATTGGTAATGCCGCGGCTTCTACAAACACTGAGTTATCAGACATTGCTAGCGATCCCGACTCCGAGTATCTACAAACCGTGGACATGTTCCAGTACCTCTGTGCTCTAGTTCCAGAGCTTGTCCCAAAGTTAGGTAAAATATCATTACGTATGTTAATTTTTCATGTCATTCTTTCGTTTTTTTAGTGTATTTTGCATTATTTTCATCTTTTTTAATGACAGACAACGATACCCTGAATTCGGATTTTTTCCGCTGTCCCACCCCTGCTCCCACCACTCCAAGAACTTTAACGTTCCTAAATAAAACCAGTGGCAGTGGAGATTCCACGTCAACTGATGGCGGCTGTAAGGAGATAATTTTCCATAACAATGTTGCTACATACCTATAACAAATAAATCAAATGCTCAAATTTTATCAGATAATTGTTGAAATCCTTCTTTGTCATTTTTCTTTACTGTTTGATTATGCTATTTCTAGCATCAGCCGCAGGAGCTGTCGGAGGCGCGGTGGGCGCCGTGGCTGGAGTGGGAATAGCGGCAGCGGCTGCATACGGGGCCGTGCAGTACGCAAACTTACTGTAAGTAACAGATGACTAATCCTTCAACTGATCTGTGTTTTTACCCAATAATATTAACATTATGGGCTCAGACTACATCTAAGCATCAACCAATGACATATGGATGTACATTTTTCTAAATACAAAAAACTAATACTTTTAAGGAGGAATAAGGCCTTAACTGTGGAGTCCATAGTATCACAATATAAAGAAGCACCCCTTGGTCAGAGTAACTCCAAATTCCGTCCTGTCGAATTTCAGAACACTGAAACCTTCAATATTAACAGTTATGATGTTATAATACCCTCAGCACCACCTTTGACCACCGTATAAGTCACTCAGTACGTGAGCATTCTTTTATAATACTTGTGTAACTGTCTGAAAGCCCCATTTGCCTTAACATGCCACACACGGGAAGTATTAGTGATAAGGGAATAGTGCTGTCATCGTTTCTGATCCCCTACAGTATAAAAACGATGACAACATTATTATTTTTATTTATTTAATTTTTTTGACAGAAAAGCGCAGGCACCCAACCCGTTTGTGGAGTCCATTGTGGCTCAGTACAAGGATGCGCCACTGGGGCAGGGTAAAGCCAAGTGTAAATACAAGTTTGAATTCTCTGGAATCCCGCAAGGACCAGTCGAAACGTCCATGCCTCCAGCCATAACAGCGTGGACTTAACATGAAGAAATATCACTTGATTTTAGAAATATTAAATATTTGTTTAATATGTCGTTTATTGTCTTATTTGTTATATTTTATGCCTGAGTTGTTTAAATATATTTTCATAATTTTAGAAACATAGTTCTATTTTTAAATAAAGGTTTTTTAATGACCTGTCATAAAAATATTATTTTGAATTTATGTCACAAATTTATTTCATTCTTTCTTATCTCTTGCCATGTGTGCTAGAGAAACTTGACTAAATCAAGATGCTACAATTCATATTAAGAAATAACGGTTTTGTTGTTCTTAAGATATATATTTTTAAAGTTTTCCCCTGCATATTTCTCTACCATGTTCTAATGTATTATGCATCTTAATGGTAGAAGTATATATATATGACTGCGTTTATCCGTCATTATTTTTTCCGTGTGTTTGTTCTTTTGGTGTGTCTTTGTGTTGATTCTTTCAGTCCCCCCCCCCCACCCCCCACCCCCACACACACACACAATTCGGCACAGACAGAAACACACAGTTCTCATTATGTTCATCAGAGATCAGCCTTGATTTAAAGCATTATTTTCATAACTGGTGCTAGAATGTTGCTAATATCCTTCAGGCCCCCGTCATTATGTTTGTGTGGATTTAGAGTGATGTACACGTCTGGTTGCTACGACCATGTCACTGAAGCAGAGCAAGATTCGTAAAAGGCTGAGATCTATTTGTCCGCCATATTATCCTGCAATTAACATTACATGTACGACCCATGTACAAGCTGTTCACTTCGTCACACTTCAGTGTAATCAGTTTCCACCGGTGTGAAATGGGGTTCGTTTATATGAGAATAATGACAAACGCCATGCTGTCGTTGTTGATAAATATATTCACTCTCAGTATAATCAGTATTATCACAGCTCTGAAATATATATAAACAATCATAAATATTTTATAACAAAGCATACATGTAGATCACTTGCCAGATAGCACGGTCAAATGAAGAGTTATTTCCCTTTAATTGTGCTCATAGATAAAACATTAAGAGTTATCTTTCTTAATCAATAATATGTACAAAGTATAAATACTGGAATATATAGATAAAACAATGAGATCAAATTATACTGAACTCTTCCAGAATAATATAATTATATTGACAATATACAAAATATATACATCATACCTATATGTGATATAGAGCCATAACTCCAATATATATATATAGCTGAACACAGCTGTACTCTATTCAGTGATCTGTGTATGAATAATATAAATATAACTTTACTATATTACACACTTATTGTCACAGATATAAAATATACTTATTACTCTGAATATTTACAAAGTCATAAAATAATCACACAAACTGAACTTTCATACTTTATATTAGAATATTATTATTTGGTAATTTAGCAGATAAACAATTATATAGCAATAATGAAATCAGTAAAAGTAAACTTACATTCTGTCCTGTCTTGGTCATTGTCATAAATAAGTCATCATATATCAAAAAGCCAATATGTCTGCTCTGACCAAGATATCCAACAAAAGTAATTAACTAAGTAAAAACCAAAAGAGAGGGAAACTAACCAACCAATGAAATCCAAGTTGGCCTGGACACTACACAAGATATATATAGAAAAGGGACAGGGGTTTAAATGACCACTGTGATGTCATACATCTATAAATAACTAAATAAACACAGATTGATGTAAATAATTCCATGTGGATTTATTCAATAAATGAAATGCTGTAAAGAAATAAATATGACAATTTAACTGAATTAATTTAATCCTGAAATATAATAATTAATATATAAAATAAATCACTCTATCACATACTTCCCCTCTTCGTGAAATGACGTCCTCGTCATTTACTATTTCATAAAGAAATAACGACTGTAAAATAAAATAAAATCATATGAAACATAGAATATCACTGAAAATTTATTTACACTTACCAAACTGACTGACTGGCTTAATGTACTTATCTTAACTAATTCTTACCTGTAATAATATCTATCAGAGCCTTTTCTACGAGTTCTTTACTGTTGTTGGAATGAAATACATTGCTGGAAGCTAATGTCTGCAAATAATCAGCCCTTGTTTTCCAGTCTGGTTGTTGTTTTGCTATCTGTTGGTTTACTATATAGTCTCCACTAGTGATCCATGATGTTGTTTTCTTTACTCTTTTAGATCTTCTTGGTACAGTCTTTGGTATCTGTTGTTCATCAGCTGAGTCTTCATCAGAATTGGTATTATCCAAATCGTCATTACCAGCTTCTGCTTGTTGTTTTGTATCTGTAGACTGTTCTGTTTCCTTCATATCAGTGTCTTCTGTAATGGTAGCTACTGAAGTACCTGTGTCATCAACATGTTCAGCAGGTGAAGGTATTCCGGAACTACCCTCATCTTCAGCGCTCTCTTCTTCATTGGCCAATGTATTCTCCTGTGGGTTACTTTCTATCCCAGAAGCAGGTGTACTAATCTTGCTGTGAGCAATAGGTGCTGCTTCATGTACTAACATTTCTTCATTACTGCTCTCTGAGTCACTATCCTCATGTTGTGAGGTACTCTTCTGTTTGGATCTTCTTGTGACTCGAGGTTTTGTTAATTTCCTAGGTGCTGGCTTAGGCTTTTCTGTCAGTAATTCAAAATCTAAGTGTCCAATTGGTAGTAAAAGGTTCCGATGTAAAGTTCTTATACAGGTGTTGTTGCTTTCTTTTCTTACAATATACACTGGAACTTCTTTGTTTGGTTGACTCTGCACTATATATGGCTCTTCCTCCCATTTATCAGATAATTTATGAGTGCCTTCGAATGCAACTATCTTGACCAATACTCTGTCTCCTGGCTGAATGACAGCATCTCTTGCCTTGATGTCATAATTCTTCTTCTGTCTTCCTTGGGCATTTTGGATAGATTTCTGTGCCAAATGGTAAGAATGTTCTAGTTTAGATTTCAAAGATTTTATGTAGGAATTCAGGTTTTCGTGTTGATTTGGTCCATCTGTTTTGAAAATGAGATCTATTGGAAGTCTGGGTTCTCGTCCAAACATAAGAAAGAAAGGTGATTGGCCTGTTGTTTCCTGTTTCATCGAATTGTAAGCATGAACTAAAGTTGAAATGTGAGACTTCCAATCCTGTTTTTGGTAATTTTCAAGTGTTCCTAACATCTTAAGAAGAGTCCTGTTGAAACGTTCTGTTAAGCCGTTGCCCATTGGGTGGTATGGTGTTGTTCTCGACTTGCTTACTCCAAGAATGTTGCAGAGCTCCTGTATGATTTTGGATTCAAAATTTGCACCTTGATCACTATGTAGCCGCAAAGGTATCCCATAATGGACGATGAAATGATGAAATAATGCCTCAGCTGTGGTTTTGGCAGTCTGGTTCCTTGTAGCTATAGCCTGCGCAAATCTAGTAAAGTGATCGGTGATGACCAGGATGTTCTCATATCCTCCTTTTGATTTTTCTAATTTAAGATAGTCTACACACACCAGTTCTAGAGGTTGCGATGTTCTGATATTAATGAGTGGGGCTCTGGTTGGTGTCGTTTTTCTTAGAAGGCATCTCCTGCAGTTTGAAATGAAATGTTCCGTGTCTGCTGTCATTCCTTGCCAATAAAATCTATCTCTAATTAAACTGATGGTTTTCTCGCGGCCAGGATGTCCCATGTCAGTATGAAGATGGTACAATACTGTTCCAATACATGATCTAGGTAAAATTATCTGTGATTTCTTTTTCTCATTCACTGTTGTTTCTCTAATGAGGATCCCATCTCTTAATCTAAGTTTGTCAAAATTCTTGTGAAGTAAAGCATGGTACTGGATGTTGTTGTATGGTAAATGGTGTTTTGCTGGCTTGTACCTATCTCGCACGTATGGTATCCAGAATCTTAGCACTGGGTCGTTGTACTGATGACGACGAATATCAACCTCTGTCTGATCACTCAAGTCTGGTAGGTTGTCAACTGAAGATGGAGATATGGACAAGCATTGTACATAGGGATCATTGGATACAGTTGAGTTGCATATGGTCTTAATGGAATCGGATGTTATGATTTCTTGGTTTGGTATCCTGCTTAATCCATCTGCATCTGCGTTGTGTGATCCAGGTCGATATAATATTTCAAAGTTGAAGTTGGCGAGATCAGCAATCCATCTTTGGCTTGTCGCATCAAGTTTCGCAGATGTTAAGACATAGGTGAGTGGGTTGTTGTCTGTATAAACCTTGAATGTTCCTCCATATAAGTAATCTCTGAATTTCTCGCATACAGCCCACTTTAAAGCCAGAAATTCCAATTTGTGGACAGGATAGTTCTTTTCTGATTTGGACAAACTCCTGCTGGCATAGGCTATAACCCGTTTGAATCTGTCTTGCGGCTGATATAATACAGCGCCAATGCTTGATGATGAGGCATCTGTATGTAGCTCAAAGGGTAAGGAGTAATTTGGAAATCCTAGAATTGGATAGGTTGTAAGTTTCTCCTTTAGTGTCTTGAAGGCTTGTTCCTGTTCACTTCCCCATCTCCACTTGTCTGATTCTTTTGATGTTCTTATTCCCTTTCTAGATTTCTTCTTGGTATTTGGTAGAAGGTCATTCAATGGGCGTGCTATTGTTGAAAATCCCTCAATGAATCTCCGGTAATAACCAACGAAACCCAGGAATTGGCGAA